TGATGCTACTGTAATAGGTTAGAGCATAGGATGACATTCTTAGTTTCAGTTGAATGTTTTTCCCTGTAGTGTATTGTCACAGCAAAAAAAATTGTTGTATATGCTTAAATCACAAGACACCACCATTTGAATAATATCTCTTCAATTGCTGTTTCATCTTGGAGCAGAAATGAAAAAAAGTTTTTGTCTCTATTCTGCTGTGAAAGTGAGCAGTTTTGGTCATCTCTTGGTGAAGCCACCAAATATATCTTAAAAGGGTCTTCGTATATATGTGAAGGACACTTCCTGTCCAAACATTCTGGAGAGGTCAGTTAATGCCTGTATGCTACTGACATTGCTGCTCTTCCTCTTCTAATGGTTTTAATGAAAACATATGAAGAGTATTCACCCAAAGTGAGCTACTGGATCCACTTAAGTTGATGAGAAACCTGTAATTGATCTTTACTAGAGCCTAGCTTTCCCTCCTAATGTGTGTCCTTAATTTACAAGTTTTGAAGATGAGATGACTTTATAATGGGAAAGATCAATAATATATGCAGACTGCGTGTAGCTGCAGCAGCAATACTATGAAAATTTAATGTAACTCATCAACATAAATTTATTTTTTGAAGCAGCAGACTTGTTTTGGTTTCAGCTCAGAAAATCATTAATTTGGTACTTAATTTCATGCACGTGACTCATCTATTGACTTGGAACAACTTCTATACTTAAATTTAAACATATGATCCACATTCTTGGGGATTTTAACTGTATGAACATGATCCTGCCCTTATTGCGTGTGGTTCTTCAATCACCTGTGAATTATTAGTACTTGATATTTTGTGAATATTGCATATGTAGCCAGCTTTCTCAGTCTTTGTAAATCTGATTAAAGGTTTGTGTATACAAAAAACTGCTCTAATAAAAAACAAAGTCTCTTTTTATTAACTTTTTAATACTTAGATCATCATAGCTGTAATTATTCTATTAGACTTTAAACTTCAAATGTTTGAAAGATGGTAGTGCTCCAAAGATGAAAGGGCATAACATTAAATTTCCAAGTAAACAGTTTGGCATCAGATTAACAGTGTCTGTGGATTAACTCTGCACAAGATTTAGGATTTTAGTGTTACAAAATCAGAATAATGCCATTTGGGTGAAGATTTGTTTCCACATATGTTTCTTGTATTTAGTTTACAATGTTACCACCAAATGAAGTGCTGTTTGAAGACATACATTTTTATACTTCAGAGGGTTTTGTTACGAAATATGTGAATGAGTGCTGTTACTAAGGGGTTAAATGCCTTTGCCTCTTCGAGTCCAGTTAGGAAGTCTGATGGTGGACTGGGCTGTAAATATATAAGCATACCTTTGTGAAAGATGTCTTCTGCCTCTAAAGATGTTTGTACCCTGTTTCCTTAATTGATGATTTTCTCCAGGAATGTCAATGAGGTTATGAAGAGGTTAAATTTAGAGCTCTGTGAAATAAAAGCTGGGGATTTGATTTGAATGCCTGAGATCTAAGTGGGCATTTTGCCCATAGCATGCTCCTTTGTCATATATACCATACTGCTTTCAGCAAGTTAATGAGATGCTGAGTGCTAATCTATGTGTTTTGGGAGGCAATATATGTAATATCCCGATCCTACTGAAGTGGTACAAATTTTCTGTGAATACACCGAGTCTGAAATTTCTGGGCAAAAACACGTTTGTAGGGCATTGATAGACATTTCTGGGTTAATCCTTTGTATGCCTTGTCATACATTGATTTTGATGGAATGGTTTCTGTCATATGTTTACATGTAATTGAAAAATACACTATTTTTGTGGTAAGCCTTCATAGGACTTTACACCTTTTCATTCATTGGTGCTAAATAGTAGGCAGCTCATGATGAACTTGCATGCAACCTTATCAGTAAATCCCTTTCATAGCAAAAAAGCAGAACAGAAATAGAAACACACCCATTAATCAAATAACTTGTTCAACTCAGGACATGGTGTCCTTTTCTTTCAACTGAAGGTTTACCTGTCAGAGAGAAAGAGAAGCAGTGAAGTTCTACAATGTTATCTGGATTATTTCTATGAAATAAATTATTAAGATAAGCAAAATGGGGCACTCTGTCAAATGAAAATGACAACAGTGATTAAGCATAAGGACCACAATAAGTGGGTCCTGGTAGCTAGGCTACCAAATATAGCTATTTTTTAAAAATGGAACTTACATAAAGCCTAAATACTGATTGATTCAAAGTCACATAATAGAGGAAAACAGCAAAAATCAGCATCTAGCAGAAATAAATTATAACATAAAAATGATAAGGGAGCCATGCTTGTTTGAAAATGAAATGTTATAAAAGGTGCAAAAATCCATCAGTCCTTCAAGAAGAAATAAAATACCCAGGGTTTTATTTAGAAAATATAATACATAGCTGCTGTAATTTCCAATGCATCATATATCATAGGTGTTTGTTGGTAACATGTCAGAGACAGATTAAATAAAAATCCATTAGGTTTCAACATACTATAGAAAATGGACAGGTTTTGTTAAATATTACCCTAAAAGCACAAGTACTGCAGGCTTGCAGCTTACACAGTATAATCATGACTCCATATATTCTGTGGCATGCTGGACCAAATTTTATATCAAGAGAGTCTATGGCCTCATATATTGTTGGTACATTTTTATGGGAGTACAAACTCCTGAAAAAAATGTAAGTTTTCATCTAATCAGGTATTAAACCAACATATTTTCAAATCTGGCAAAAAATTCTCTGTTTTAAAAACCTAATACCACTGTATTAATGTTATTTTTAATACTTAATGCAATAAAGCACTTTCAGAAAAGTATATAAAAGAGTTACTGCTGTTGAAGAAATACCATCTTACCACCTAATGTTAAAGTTGCCAAGTTGTTTCAGCATAACAGGTGACTGCATGTGAAAACAAAGTGTGAACTGAGTGAACTGATGTCACTTTATTTTAAAATAATCTGCTCCTTGGTGTTTAGAGACTGTGATTTTCTTCTTTGGAGATGTTTTGCGAATATTTTGGGTGACATTTAAGCCTGTGGGATATTGTTTTAATTTTGTGCCTGTTAAATTCCTTTTGGGGAGAGTTTGCTGAAAGAAATGTGTGAGCAATTTTAGCAAATTCTGAGTGCAGAGAAATTTGAAATATTGACTTGGGGTTTGGAATTGTGACAGTAATTTGAAACCACAAAGTAAATGCCATGTAAAGATAGTGCCAATTATTTTCTCTGTTCTCTCATTGCTAAGATCTAGGAGTCACTCTAGTTTCCTTGTTAAAAAGGAGCTTGTGTTTTGTTGGAAAAAACATTCAGTATCTGGAAAAATTACAGTATGAGTGTTTATTGCTGGTAGTCAGTCCTCAAAATTACAAAATAGTATGGAATTGAGAAGTGTTAGAATAAAATGTGTGCTTCCCTGTTCTGAATCAGGAGTGAGACATTTCCATGGTAATGCCTCACCAAGGCAGTGGTGGGCAGATTTTTAAATTATATCTTTGACTTGAGGAACTCTAAATTTCTATTATATTTTTGAAAGGTAAACTTAATTGCATAGTCGTTTGTAATATGAAAACTTCACTAATTCTCCCTGCAAATATTTCTCCACATTTTAAGTTCTGGCAGCAATATGAGGTTATATATAGAAAAAAAAAAAAAAAGAAAACAACCCTACTCCTCTCACCCCAAAAAACCCCACCCTAACCACTGCTAAAAAAATCTCAAATTAAATTAGCTCTGACACAGTACCAAGCTATCAATGTGACCGTATAAAATGGTAATGGTCAAATTAAGATGAAAGTCTGTCAGTATTGCAGTAAGAAGTTTGGCTACGAAATATAACAAAATGGGACTTGATTCTCGATTAACAACAACAACAACAACAACAACAATAATAATAACAATAATAATAATAATAATTCCTTCTGAAGGATTCAGAATATATTTTATTTTTTTTTTCTTTCATAAATTATATTGTGCTTGAATTTTGCTCATTGGAAGTATTTGGCTTGGTGTTTTTGGCTCATAATTATTTTCTACACTCTAAGACACCTTCAGGCAAAGACCAATTAAATTTTTTTGCTATTTTCTCTTCTGTATCAGGATCTGTGGAGCTAGATTGTGATGGTGACATATGATTAGAAGCTCAGAGACATAATTTTAATTCTAAAGTACATTTTGTGGTTAACATTTATACTGCTTTGACATTCACTTTAGCTAGCTGCATGATTTTATGAATGCTGGTAGTGTGAATAATTGATTCAGTACACAGAGAGCTTTATTTAACACATTTATTTCTTTAACAGGTATATTTTACATTTGTAGTTAACCTTCATTTCACTAAAGGTTTATTACTTAAAAATGTAATTCCTTTGAAAATTATTCAAATAAAAAGCTCTGGTGCACCTTATTATATATTTAGTTAGCAGTATGGAAGATATATTTTTAATGATCTTTGAAAAATATTGGACCAAATTTTCTGTTAGCTTAAACTGGCAGATTAATTTTCTAAGTGTCTCTTAGCAGTACACTCTCACTGCATAATACAGTTATAACAAAGGAAATCTATGTATTTTTGATGGGAGTTATAATATCTCTGATTTTGAGAATGGTAACCTGGCATCTATTAATTATCAAACTATTGTAAATTGTAAAATTATTTTGTCACTTCAGAACTTCATATGTAACCTAGGAAGAAACCATCATTGTCTGGTTCCAGCCTTGGTGTCATCTGAAACCATAGGTTTTTTTAGACTGAAAATTTTATTCAATAACATGACAGTGTTAGACAGGTGATGAACATTTTGGGAAGTATTTATTTCTGAAATAGTTTTCCTATAAAATAATGACTAAGAGATAAGTTGGCAAAATGTTGAGTAAAAAAATCGTGCCATTCTTGCTTTTCTAAGTGCTTTGAGAGGAATAAAAATGTTTGATTAATTAAATGTCTTCTTATATTTGCAAAATGTAACTAAAATAAAGAACCACTTCTTTCTAGCTAAGTAACCTGAAACAAATCACAGTTGTGGATGTCTCAGCAAACAAGTTCCATTCTATTCCAATCTGTGTACTCCGGATGTCTAATTTGCAGTGGTTGGATGTTAGCAGCAACAACCTGAAAGATCTCCCAGAAGACATAGACAGGTAGTTTATATTTAAATTCATTGAAAGTCTTGTGAACTATAAAGTGAATCTTGAAAGTAACAAGCTTCAGGAGACACCATTAATGACAAATAACATTTTAAAAAAATCACATTTAGAAATGCATCAGATAGTTTTGCATGTAAGATTTACGAAGATTATTAATGGACTAGGTCAGAGAACAGAAACTACATTTTCTATCTCATTGATGGCAAACTGCAAAGGTAGTTCCTCTACTGTTCAGTTACCTAATTATGTTTTCTGTTGCATTCATGATAATTTGTCATTATATCCAGGCATTGTTCTTTGGGAAGTTCATGAGGCATACTCGGCCCCATTTCCAGCAAAAGGGACTCAGCATATGGAGCTGGAATCAGTTATCTCTCTGGAAGCTAGATGGGGTGAAGGGAAAAAATAATTAAAGCATATTTAAGTTACTGAAAGAACCTGATAAACTTTAGCAGTAAAACAGAAAAATATTGCTAAGTTTAAAAAAGACACTGACAATCTTCCCCTCCTACTCTGAAGCATATATGCATGTGCACACATATACTCACTCACAATTTAGAGATACTTCTAGTTTTAAAAGAATCATGCTGATCACTTTAATGGGACGTACTAGCCTGAGAAAGCACTTTTTCTTATCCCTGGGCCTATTTATTCAGTCTGGAGTCCTGTTGTAACTTGATTTACAAAACTTTACATAGCCATAAGTAAATCAAAACATATATTAACTAGAGTTTATTAAAAAAATATGGGTTATTTATTAGTAGACATTCCTGAGACAGAAGAAACCTCACATAAAAATCATTCCACTTTAACTTTCACAAGACCTTTGTTTCTGAGCAAAAGACTTTTCTGGGACATTGTGTAATCACATATTTCTCTGACAACAGACTGAAGTCTTAATTTGTATTGGCAACTCACATGCTTTACCCAAGACAGCATAATCCTGCCATTTTTTTCCCAGGTGTTTTGAGCAGAGATTTGATTAAGTTCAAATAGCTTCTAAGAGGATAGTTTTATTTTATGGAAGGATACCCGCTCAAGGGTCATTTTTCCAACCTATAAATATTTCTCTATCTCCACAATATTCTTTTTCTACATTTCATCTTCTCCATTTTGTACTGACCTGTCAGCCTTGATACTAAAGCATCATAATCAGACACCACAAGATAAGGTTTTCCTTTGTTTGACTTTGGGTTTTGAATTTTGAGATCTCTTGGGCTCATGTGCATTCTGAAGAGTAGAAAATATCATGATCTCCCCTCACCCCAGTAAACTGATATTCTTATTCAGACTCATGATTACAATGCCTGCAGTGTCAAAGAAACTCAATGAGCTACCATGAAGTCTGTGATTAAAAAATATGAGTTGGCAGTAAACTGAAGCTTTACTTAATATCTTTCCTGAATTCAAACAAATCATATGGGCCTGATAAGCAGTAGCCCATAACAGTGTTTCAGGAATGGGCCCTTCTAGTCAAATGAGACAAACATCAGTTTGCTATGCTTTTTGTCTTCTATCTACTCTAAAGAATAAATGCTCAGCCACAAATTACTATTGCATTAGGAAAAGCCAGGGGAAATAAAGCAAAAGGAGCCCAATGCCTTCCTCTGTAAAACATCGTCATTAAATTGATTTCAGTGGGATGACTTGTAAGACCATATGACCAGGAGCTCATCTTTCTCTTGCTCCCCACAGTACTAATTAGTAGTGCGAAACAACAGATGGGAGTATACTGCCTAGCACGGACCTATCTAGTTCATAGAATCCCACATATGGGCAAAGGTGGGAGCTGGTGATCGGTATTTTTCATTAGTTCTGGGATACACATGGTGAGGCTTTATATCATATTCTGTCAACATCTTTGGTATGAAAGTACAGTGATTTTTGTAAAATTTTTTCTTGGGCATGCTTCTGAGTACTTGTCAGAGGTGTACTATTAATATCTATAATGTTGAACCATGACTGGAAATTTCCATTAAAGTTGATGACAATTTGTGAAAGTGTGGTATGAGCAAATTTTGAGAAGCCAAAGATGGTACATGTAATTGTTCTTCTTTTACACAAGATTAAGTCTATATTGCTACTTTGGATAGATGCTCCTGTCTGAAATAAATATTTCAAGTAATCTTTAACTTTTATATTTTTACAGGTTAGATCAGCTTCAGACTCTCCTCCTACAGAAGAATAAGTTGACTTACTTGCCCAGAGCTCTGGTCAATATGCCAAAGCTTAGTTTGCTAGTTGTCAGTGGCGATGACCTGGTTGAGATACCCACAGCCATCTGTGAGTCAACCACAGGATTAAAGTAAGTAAAAGTAAGAGAGAAAGGAATATATTCTTAAAAAGATAAGATGGATGCACCCAGGAGAAATACTTTCACAAGCATCAGTTTCTACAATACCTGGTGGTCAAATTCTAACCCAATTTATCTCAGAGACCTTAAGGAAGCACTAGAGAGACTGGAAATTGCAGAACAGTGGCAACTTTCTGATTTTCATCTGCTAGTTCCTCACAGTGTGCATCTGTTTGCCTGAACTGCTATTCCCGTGTAGACTTGGTCATAGTAACTCTAAATGGGTGTGCAAAGCCATGTCCCAGATTGGGACCACTAGTCTAAAAGTCATCTGTTGATAAACTCAGTGCTGTCAAAAGTATGCTGCTGGGAGTGGGAGATAGGCAAAAAGAAAGAGATAAATCTGTTCATTTTTGTATTGAAAGTGGAGTATAGAAAATGTTCCATTTGAAATTTTTATTTCTAATAAAAGATGGATATTAAAAATGCCACCATGCAAAAATTGAGAAAATATTCTCTATGTTTCTTGTTCTGGCTGTAGTAGCAACTTCTAAAATGTCATTCATGTAGGCCAGTGATGTTCAGAAGCCTGTTGCATATATTGTTGTGTTAATCTCTTTCTAGATTTGTAAGTCTCAAGGACAGCCCTGTTGAAACTATTGTATGTGAAGACACTGAAGAAATTGTAGAAAGTGAACGTGAACGTGAGCAATTTGAGAAAGAGTTTATGAAAGCATACATTGAAGACCTAAAGGAAAGGGGTATGTGTTAACTTGCAGTAAACTTCCTGCTATTTTGGATATAAATACAGACATATTTTTTGAACATTAATTTTTGAGAGTACAAACAATACACCCTTAAAATGTAATTGTCCATTACATTTGAGGCTTGGTTGATCTCACACTTTGCTGGGTAAAAAACTGTCTGGATGGCCGGGCCCAAAGAGCTGTGGTGAACGGAGTTAAATCCAGTTGGTGGCCGGTCGCGAGTGGTGTCCCGCAGGGCTCAGTTTTTGGCCACTCCTGTTTAACATCTTTACTGATGATCTAGAGGAGGGGATTGAGTGCACCCTCAGTCAGTTTGCAGATGACCCCAAGTTGGGTGGGAGTGTTGATCTGCTCGAGGGTAGGGAGGCTCTGCAGAGAGACCTGGACAGGCTGGAGCCATGGGCTGAGGCCAACTGGAGGAGTTTCCATAAGGCCAAATGCCGGGGGCTGCCCTTGGGCCACAACAACCCCCAGCAGCGCTACAGGCTTGGGGAGGAGTGGCTGAAGAGCTGCCAGTCAGAGAGGGACCTGAGGTTGTTGATTGACAGCCGGCTGAACAGGAGCCAGCAGTGTGCCCAGGGGGCCAAGAAGGCCAATGGCATCCTGGCTTGTGTCAGCAATAGCGTGGCCAGCAGGGACAGGGAAGGGATCTGACCCCCGTACTCAGCACTGGGGAGGCTGCCCCTCGATTCCTGTGTTCAGTTTTGGGCCCCTCACTACAAAAAGGACATTGAATGACTCAAGCGTGTCCAGAGAAGGGCAACGAAGCTGGTGCAGGGTCTGGAGCACAGGTCTGATGGGGAGCAGCTGAGGGAACTGGGGGTGTTTAGTCTGGAGAAGAGGAGGCTGAGGGGAGACCTCATCGCCCTCTGCAGCTCCCTGAAAGGAGGGTGCAGAGAGCTGGGGATGAGTCTCTGTAACCAATTAACAAGCAATAGGACAAGAGGGAATGGCCTCAAGTTGTATCAGGGAAGGTTTAGACTGGATATTAGAAAGCATTTCTTTCCAGAAGGGGTTGTTAGGCGTTGGAATGTGCTGCCCAGGGAGGTGGTGGAGTCTCCATCCCTGGAGGTGTTCAAGAGTAGGGTCAATTTAGAGCTTAAGGATCTGCTGTAGCTGGGAACTGTTAATTTTGGGTTGATGGTTGGACTAGATGATCTTCAAGGTCCTTTCCAACCTAGTTGATTCTGTGATTCTGTTATTAAATAAGATTAAAAGTGAAAATGTCAAGTGCGTTTTCCAAAACTATGGGCCCTAACTGAAACAGTTGTTATTGAACAAATGTACACAAAATTAATGGTGTGTTTGTACATGCATAACCTTAAATCAATGATAACATATGTAGTGATTATCCTCATTCTCAAGATTTACTTATGTCTCTTGCAATTAGCACTGATGATTTTGAATTCCTGCAGAAGTGCTTCTCCTACTCAAAATGAAACACAGCATATATATGAAGTGTTTTTTGTATTGATAGAACATTCTTTATCAGTTTATTTGTATCAATGTACTAATTGTTTAATCACTGTAAAATCACTGTAGTAAAATAACTGCAGTAACAAACTGTCTTTGTCTTTAGTGCACAGCACATGAAAGTTTACATATTACTTTGTTTTGCTATTCTGTCATATATTTACCATAATTAAGTAACTGGCAATCTCTTGAGTCTTGTTTAGTAAAACATGTTAGGAAACAAAGGGAAAATTTCCCCTGAGCTAAAATACCCTGTAGGGTCTGTCAAATGTCGTTTGAGAGTTTGTGTGTAGAAATGAAATTTGTGCAATGAATCTTATGGTATCTTTTCATTCCTTGCATTTCACATAAGTGGTCTGTATAGTAGGAGAGAAATGTAAAGAAAGGCCACAGAATGTGGCTGCAGAATACTTTTCATGTTCTAATACTAGACTTTTATTACTTAATGTCCATAAGTATTCACGCCATCTACGTCTAAAGTGAAGTCTGCTATAAAAGTCTGCCTGATTCTAATAATGGTAGCAATAGTGGTTAAAATGGAGTGAAGGAATGCAGGAAAAACTGAGGTCATAATTTGACTTCAGTGATACTCATGAAATATGTAGTAATGGAATGGTATTTACATACTCGTGAAATGTGGAGTCTAAAATAATGGCTGTCAGGCTGCCTCAAACCTGCATTTGTCCCTGTCAAGCAGAGGCCAGCTTTATACTCCTTTGGGGCAAACCAGCTCAGGGAGACACTTTTCTGCCTTCCTAGACAAAACTTATCTCCATGCTTTTTATGATGAGGCTGGATCATGAATGACTCTTGGATTTACTGCTTCTGAACTTGTGCTATAGATTATGCCAAGACCTGCCTTTGAAAAGCAGACTGGAGGAGGAATAACTTCTGTATAATACAAGCTAGGAGAATTCTTGAAAGATAGCACAGAGATCATTTGTAGAGTGCCTTTGAAATAAAACCAAACCTAGCTGTTTCTAGCTCAGGGGTCCATTTATTTGCACTGGATTACATAGCTGAAGTCTGAAATATATATATTTTTTTTCTTTTCACAGATTCTACTCCTTCCTACACTACAAAAGTATTACTCAGTCTTCAGCTTTGAAGATCAAAAATCTCTACATCACTAGTGAATATCAGAATAACTCTTTTTTATCCACCTGAATAGAAAAAACAGGAAAACACAGATGGCCAGAAGCACTTCAAATTCATAATGAATTTCTTTATTTGTTGCTGTACTTGCTCCCAGTAACTACAGATAAAACAAATCAGTAGAGCCTTCATAAGATGTTGTTTCACCTTTTAAATCAACATGTTTATTTTCAAGTCCACAGCCACAGCCATTAATTTACATATAGACCTGCTGAAAGTAATTGTTCACTGTAATAAAGTATACACAGGCATAGATGCCCTCAGGATGAAGACATCCATTGTAGTAGAAACTGTGGAAAAAAAATCATCATCTTAAAAAGAAATTTGATTTTATAAAGGAGAAGGATTAATTTAGAAAATGAGTGTGATCTCTTGTATTCTTAAAACCATATAGCACATTCAGTTCTTTACAATATTTAAAGTGCAAACACATACATAGTTTGAATTTACTTTCTGTTCTTCAAGGAAATTGTCCTCCCTCGGATTTTTCATTTTAGATAAGTTTCAACAACTTTATATATAGAAAATGCAGCAATTCTGCTGCTTTTTTTCCAAGCATATTATAAGCTTTTACCTGTCCACAAATTCAAATACTAAAATGACTGAAACTTCTGTGCTAAGCAGTTTTATAATATAGCAGTGTATTAAATAAAATTTTGGGGATTAAGCAGTGCAAACAAATACTATCTGCAAAATGATGATACTGTCTTCTACTAATGTTTTCAGATTACAGGATTCTGTGGATATGCATTGTTATTTCCCATGTTGTATAAGAATGATTTTGCTGGATAAAAAGTTATTTTGCTTGCTACTTAATAATCTGTTTATATATAATTATGTAAGTGTATATAATGTAGAATTTCAAAAGTCTAGTTTTACACATATATTTTGTTTAATAAATCAATACTTTTAACTCTAAAAAGACGAGACTGAGAATTTTGACTCAAATTGGACTCAAATTAGAGAATTTAAATATTCATAAATTTATAAGTGCAGTTAGGGGAAATGATATTTACGTCTTTAAGTTTTATTACAGACGAGCTATGTCCAGTTTTGTACAGTAGAGTGGCATTCATATTTAAAAAGCAAAGCAACAAAGGATGTACTTCTCAAGACTTCTATATATAAAAAAATACTGGCTTTGATTTTTTTCTTTCCTTTTTAACTTTTTAACATTCATTCTTTTGAGAGAATAGAATCTGTAAATATTGTGTGTTATTTTTCCCAGCCACAATCTCCTGTGCTCATGTTACTATCCAAAATGAAACCTTTTTGAGTAGGTCTCTAGGTGTTAATACTGATTTAAAGCAAATTCTGGAACAAAGAGAAAGTTTAAAAAAATTCCAAGAAAACTTGATTTGAAACAGAATAATGGAAGATCTGAAATGTTGTTTTTATTACAAAGGTCTTGAATTATGATAAAATAGTGGCAGTCTAAGTGGTTTTATAGCAATCAGGCTATCTGAAACTACCAAACTTTCTTTTAGTGAAATTATAAATTTGGTTGATTCGATATTGATGTAATAAACTTCTGTAAGACATCTAATTTGGCATTTCTAGAGTTCTATTGTAGAATAATATGATCCACTGAAAATCATAGGAATGGAAATTACAACTGCTGTGTTTATATGGGAGTTGAAACTTTAAGGAAAACTAAAGGTGCAAACACAATTAACTGAGCAAAACTTCCCAGTGCAAATTCTAGTGTGAGAATTTTAGGATATATTAACAGAAGGTACTTGAATAGAGAAGTTGTATTAGTACTTATTTAACTTTGTTGCTAATCTTGAAAGATATATGCTGTTCACAATTAAGAGTGATGCAAATAAACTGGGGAATGTTCAGAAAAAAACCCAATAGCATAAATAGAAAACACACATTTTTAAAGTTCATTAAACTGTGAACAAGTCCATTTGGTCATCAATATTTATCAGTGAAAAATTGCAGTCTAGAAACAGCATTTTTTTTACTGCAGCAGACAAACGTAAGGCAGAAGTCTAAAACTTGAAATCATAGATTTGAACATAGGAAAAAATGGCCCATTTTTCAGTAAGAGTAACCATGGGACAATTTATAAAACACTGATGAATTCTTAGTCACTAGCAAACTTTAAGTCCAGGTTAACATTTTCCTTAAAAAAAATTGTTTAAAAATTAAGCCATGGAAAATGGTTAATGCTATACAGGGAATCAAACTAGTGTTCCCCACCTTGATTTGGGATATCTGTGAATCTAATTTTCATAGAATCACAGAGGGGTTTCTATTGGAAGGGATCTTCAAAGATTATCTAGCCCAACCTGCCACGTTCAGGCACATCTTTTAGTAGATCAGGTTGCTCAAAGCCCTGTCCAACCTGACCTTGAATGCTTCCTGTGATGTCACATCTGCAACATCTCTGGGAAACCTGTTCCAGTGTGTCACCACCCTCACAGTCAAGAGTTTCTTCCTTATCTCTAATCTAAAGTTACCCTATTTCAGTTTAAAACTGTTACACCTTGTCCTATCACTACAGACCCTGGTAAAAAGTCTTTCTCCACCCTTCTGATAATCCCCCTTTATATATTGAAAAGCTGCAAGAAGGTCTCCCTGGAGCTCCCTCTTCTCCAATCTGAATAACTCAGCTCTCAGCCTTTTCCTCACAGGAGAGGTGTTCCGGTCCTCTGACCATTTCTATGCCCTCCTCTGGACCTCCTCCAACAGGTCCATGTCTTGTATTGGGGAACCCCACAACTGGACACAGTACTCCAGGTGGAGTCTCATGGTAGCAGAGTAGAGGGGAGAATCACTTCCCTTGATCTGCTTGTCATGCACCATTTGATGCAGGATACAGTTGGCTTTCTGTGCTGCATGCACACATTGCCAGCTTATGTCCAATTTTTCATCCACCAGTATCCTGAAGTACTTCCCTGCAGGGCTGATAGCTTTTATTCCAAGCTCTTGTAGAATGTTATTTCCTAAAATCAGAAAGAAAGCAGTATTTCTGTCACAGAATTTGTCAAGTACCTCTGCTTAAGGGGAAGATGATGTACATATACAACTGTCTCCATTATACCTAAGCCGTCCAGTGGATAATGTCAGCTATAACTGAAAGTCCTAATTTCAGCGTAACTGCATTTGAGTTATACTTCTATGTCCTATAAAACAAAAATACTGTGAGAATATATGTTATCACATGTGTTATCATATGCTGTTAAATGTAATTTTATTGGTGTCATCCATTGCAATATAAAACCTGTGTGTCAAAAGACACCTCATTTTGAATGGAGTCTAATTTTATTGGTTTTCTATCTAGCTTGGTTAACTAGTAGTTTTACTTTAGACTATTATCTTCTAGCTTGCTTTACTAGTAGTTTTACTTTAGACTATTATCTTTCAATAAAATCCAACACTTCCAGGGAAGACAATTTTGTTATTGGCATACTACATACTTTTTCAGTTTTTGAAAGTGAATAAATTTATGATTAAAGGAATTGTGTGTACTAATAGCAAATTATGCTATTTTCAAGTTGCTGATGTCAGATACTACACTTCCTAAAACCCAACACTCCTTCTGCTTCACAAGTAGCTGCTATTCAAAAGCAGAAAGACTGGGAGCAATTGAAATATGTGTTATAGAATACTCAGTTGCTCAATGTGCAAAAATAAACCAGATAATTACTTTTCATTGTGTTCCTTTTGCTTGTTCTGCACTGTTTTTGCCTTGTTTTTAAGGATAACAAAGTATAAACTAGGAATATAAACTTATAATGAAAGCAAACAACCTGAAATTTGATTAATGAGTAGCTAGGAATAACAGTGTTGCATCAGATTTTGGTTTAAAATTTACAGTTAACACTGAACACTATAATCTTTTTTTCCTCCTTGAACATTCACACCACTGGAACTGTTTTACTGTGTTTATTTTCTGCAAAGGAAGCACTGAACAAAATGATAAACAGGGAATGTGCTTTCTTGATGACTTGACTTCAGTAGCTGCTAGGTCCTGGTCTCTGGAGGATTTCCATACAGATTAGCTCCTGCATCATAGAGGATGGAAGGAGATTGGAATTTTTTTTTTTTTTTTTTCCTGATTTTGAGGCCTCATTTAAATTAGTCCTAATAAACAGAAGAACTGTAACTCAACGTAATGCTGGTTATGTACCTCATGGATAACCCTTCTATATGTTAAGCAGTTCAGGAAGTTTCTTCTCTCTTTTCACCACTGAATCTGCTGCTTGAGCTGATTCCAGCTGTGACCATATTCTATCCTACAGCTCGCTGTCTCCTTCACTGGTCCATTCATAGTTATGGGTGTTGCTTATTTTAAATAGGGGGTCTGCATGCTGTTCTCATTATGTGCGGACTGACATAATGTGAAAGGATGTTACTATCTTTTACCTCTCCTTGGAACTTTCTGTTTTCTTGTTGCCAACTGCAACATAACTACTCGAGGTTCAGCAAAATCTTAGTAAAGATGCATTTTATTTCTAAAATCAGTTACATCTTAAACATAATACCTCTGCTATGTTCAGAGCTTCTATTTTCCACTATTGCTTTCAGCCTTTTCCTAAAATCAACAGTGACATTTATCAAATAATTAAACTAGCTGTCAAAACAAGGTGAATAGATCTGTAAGGAAGAATATCATCTTAGAGAACTAAAAATCAGTTTTAGGCTATACAAGAGCAATGTTTGAATCCAAATTTACATTTCATTTTCTTTTTCACTTGTTACACAGGTCCAGACAAGTTGAGGCTAGTCAGCCTTTGGTCCTATGTATTATGTAATGGCATAAAATAATATGTTTAGAAAAAACAATGTGCTACACTGTACATTGTGTTACACCTTAAGTTGATAAATGCATATGGTGCTTCTCTAAGCTACGGAAGCTGCTATCTATGCCTGGGATGTGTCAAATTTTTTGTGTGTACACTAGTTGCAGTGTTTTGCATGGAGGAAGACAACAACATTTTTCTTTCAGATTTTCTACAGTTTTATGAATGGCATGAAAAGTTATTCAATGTTTCATTCTTATTCTGGTTTGCTGGTTTAAAATCTGCAATGGTATGTCACCTGTGGTATCTGTATAACTTTCTGTTAAGATAAAGATTTGAAAATATATTGATCCCAAGATTTTTGTGGTGCTACTCTGGCCCCAGAGAGGTAGAGCAAGTCAACTATGGGTTCTGAGTGCATTTGAAGAAGGTGAGTTCAGCAGTTAGACACTGGCAACTGCAGGAACTTGATACAACCAGGTAACTAAAGGAGGTAAAACTTTTATTTTTTAATTTTTTAAAAATGTAAATCTGGTTTTGTTTTCACATTTTATAAAAGTCTCTATCACCAAAGTTCCTTCCTCTCTAGCTATGAGACCTGTACATCAAAGCATGTGTTGGCATTTTAAGGTAGCACATGATTTCAGGAATGAGGGTTTAAGGAAAGCAATAATATTTGTTGCAGTGAAGTGCTCATTAACAATACTGTGACATGGTTGAAAATGATTAGGATATATCTGCTTTTATGCTATAAGCAGGCTTTTTGTATGTTGGAAGGTTCTACTATGGGAAAGTTTCTGCCCAGAAAATGTCCTGTAGTTCCTTTTCCTCTTACTTTGTACTAGTATAAGTTTATGTTGTATTAAGCTGAACTACCTGGAGCTTTCAGGGTTGGTGTAAATGGGGAAAGACTTCATCACTCTGTTTCACCTGTCTGTTTCATTCCTACTCTTTCTTTTTATTTAACTTTTTCATTTATCTAACAATTAAAAATTCAGAAGTTCATATTAGAAATCTCTCCTACAAATTAAAAGATAAATTGGCATGTAATTTTTAAGAGCTTGTTGGCTATCTGGTATTGACAGTCAACTCCTAAAATGTGTT